ACCCCTCCCCACTTCTCCCCGCCCACGCGGCTTGGAGGACGCCGGTCCTTGTAGTCCGCAGCGCCTTCCTTCTCCTCCCTTGCCCAGCAGAAGAAATGCCCTAGTAAAACTACCAATCCCAAAAGGCAATGCGCGCCCCTCTCTACGCCTGCGCGAAATCTGAGAGCAAGGCGGGGCTAGAGTGGGCGGGGCCAGGGGGATTTTGGACAGGGATTTAGAGGCCCCCGGATTTATAATCGCGGGAGGAGAAGCCGGCAGGTTGCAGCGGGTAAGAGTGTCCTCCGTTCCCTACCTGCCGGCGTCCGGCGGGCAGTCTCCGGGGCACTGCCTCCGCTCGGCGCCGCAGAGCTGAAGCGACGGCAGGTGCTCAGAGTTGTTATTGTTATTCATTTGTCAGCGCCCCGAGTTCTTTGAACTCCGGCAGCTGCACCCTGCGCGGGGCAATCGAGAAGCGTGGCTCGGCTGAGACTCGGGGTCTGGACAGGGTGGGGGTCGCCCGGGGGCGCCCGCAGCCAGGGCTACCCCGCCTCCGGATCCCTCGCCCTCCGTGTGACACCCGAAAGGGGCGATCCCCTCCTCCCCCGCTGGAGAGGTCTTGCGGCCAAGTTTGGTTCGTAAAGAAGACGCTGAAAGGGGACAGTTTTCCAGGCCCCGGGCAAAACTGGGCTTAGAAGAAAGATGCCTAGTGGGGTCTTAGGAACCTCACCACGGCTCCCCCGACTGTCAAATTCAAAAGCCTTCTGCCTCTCGGGGGTCATAACGGGAAGGCGCATTTTCTTCCCCAGCGAGCCCCTGCAGGGGGTTGCAGACAGACAGCGGCCTTCTCCTAACACGAGGTTCTTTTCAAGAATTCTGTGGCTTGGCTTTGGTTTGAAGTGATGCTGGGGGGGAGGGGAGCGTGTCAAAAACGTGCGCATGACTCATAACTTGTTTTCACCACTTGGCGCTACTTCCCCAAACCCGCAAGAGGGAGTCCTCTGCTGAACCCAGGCCTTAAAATTCTGACCACCGTAGATAATTTGTGTCCTAACCAACGGAATGGGAACAACCATGGTCTTGGTAGGCCCAGAAACAGACGGGCGAGTAGCTGACCCAAGGAGGGGAATTGTCATGAGCTCAGTTAAAAGTATTTAGCCTTATCTCAAACCCCTCCTCCAACACTATCCCTCTTTATTATAAAAAGAAGTGCCAAATGGAATAAACTGATTTTGAGTAAGTATAAGCTGTCTTTATATGCAAAAATAGCTCCATGCTTTCAACTGATTTTGGAAGCCTGCACCATGCACCTTAAGTAAATTAACTGAAACTGGACTCTTTTTTTTTTTTTTCCAGTTAAGGAAAAAAGATAACTTTATCTGTGGATTAGTTTAATTTATAATTACAGTTTAATTATAAATTAATTATAGTTATGTATTCTATTTATTATAGTTTATAATTAATAAATAATATATATTATAAATATATTATAAATAAATATAATATATATTATATTTAATTATAGTTTAATTATAAATTAGTTTAATTTATAATTAGTTTAAATTATAATTAGTATAATATATAATTTATACAAAACACTTTCAATATAGTAATTAGTGATAGAAGTAAAGGTACAAGATTTGTTTTTTGTTTTTATTTATTTTTAATATTTTATTGAATTTATTGGGGTGACATTGGTCAATAAAGTTATATAGGCTTCAGGGGTGCAATTCTATAATACATCGTCTGTATATCGTATTGTGGTTTCACCACCCCAATCTTTAGTTACATGCTATACCAGCTGAATAATAAACATTGTTTATAATGGTGAGTCACTGTTGCTTGATAGCCTCAGTGACTATTACCCTGGTTCATAATTAACTGTGCAAGTGGGATAGTTTCAAGAGGCCATTTTTAAAACACTAATCTTACCACTGAGTTGAATATTTGAGACTTTGTGTCATTCTAACCCTGATCTCAACCTCTTGTCCATTTCAGACAGTATTTGTGTCAAATGTGAACACCTACCCATTAGGTGCAAGTAGATAAACAATTCTTATATAAACTACTAAATGTCCATCAGGTTTATGATTAAGTCGAAAATTGTAGATGAAGAAATTAATGACGAGGCATCAGTTCTCACAGACAATGAGCATTCCGGAGCTTAACAGAATTGAATCCTACACATTTTTAAAGGTGTTTTCAATAAATACTTGGAATATGTTCTCACATTAGGCATTTCTACTAAATTCAATAAAGTGTAGTCTGTGAAGAATCACTTCTCTTTTTTAGATAATGTGTTTTGGGAGCAAGCAGAAACTCAAATGTCTAGTAACAAATGCATGTCCTAACAATATTAAAAAGAAGTAACATGTGTTGAGTTTCTCCAGTGTGCAGTTCAGATGTGAAGCTAGAGGACTCATGCATTGTCCCTGTTAATTCAGGCAAGAACATGCACGAGAGGAGCATTACTGGCCCCATTTTACAGACTGAAAAGCTCAAGTCAAGAAAGTTCAAGTTTTTAAAATCATTCCCAGAAACTTACCTGGCTCGGACTAGAATCCACAGTCTGATCTGAAGAGACTAAGTTTAAACTCTGCCTTGTAGGTTACCTGGGAAGGGAATTAACTAAAGCATCAAGCTATGCAGAATAAGTCCAAGAAGAGCCATCATTCAAGAGTTTCCGACGTAGAACTGAACTCTGTGGCTGCCGAGAAAGACAATGAGTGAAAATACCTTCTGCGAATGGCTGCCTCCGGAGCTTACTGAACAGATCTTCAGTCACCTGGATGTTCAGAGTTTGTGCAGGGCTTCAATGACATGCAAGAGCTGGAACGACAAAATAATACACAATGACGCCTTATGGAAACCTCATTGCTTGGCCTTAAGAGCTGTGTGCAAAAGAGAAATAGATCATGATCAAAATAGTGGTTATTCCTGGAGGGTAAGTGTAATTTTTGCGGCCTGCACTGTTCTTAACAATATGGTGGTCGGTTTGCACCAAACTCTACTTGCTGCTTGGATGAGGTAGGATTTCATAGACCGAATGACATACAGACTGTGTTGGCTTTGGAACTTAAAGTTGGATTGTTATTCTTTTCCTGCAGACCACACTATCTCCCATCCATCCTTCAACATTTTTTAGATCTTAAATGTGGGCATTTTCCTGTTAACCAGAAGGAAAGCAGCTACTTCTTTTCACTTCACATTATCCAAAACCCCCAGCAAACTCTGTGGCTCACACTGTCTGTATACACATATGCATGAATATCTACACACACGCACGTTTAGTAGTATATGTGTATATCAATGCAAATACTTCATCTTCAGCCCTGTCAATCAGCTTCTCTGGCTTCAAACAAACTCAGCTCACCAGGCAGCAACCCACTACCTTCTGTGATGATGCTGGTTTACCTCTTTTAGGACACACTACTGAGGAATTACCAGAAGAGCCAAGTGAAACTTGGATGGCTAAGCGGCAGATACAGCAACATACGTTCTCCTACTGACCTCCCAGAAACAATCCTGTGCCAGATGGATGCAGAAACATGGGGGGAAATTCTAGAAGCAGAACTGAAAAGACCAATTGACAAACAGATCTCATAACTGTGAGAGTGTAAAACTAAAATGACTCTTAGTTTGTAAAAGGTATTTATCTCTTCATTTTTTTTGTTCACCTTTTTAAATATTTAACATTTAAAAGTAAAAAATATTGTAAAAGTAAGGCTTTGTTTTTACTTGGCACTTTAGTAAAAAATATTCTTCTGGTTTTACTGTAATATGGAAAAATCATGAAATGTTTTTTATATAAGAAATAATGTACCAGTAGAGTGATTCCAAAATGCATTGTTTCATGTATTTGTGTTAGTGTATTGTGTTACTATCTCTTTAATGAAAAGAGAATTTGGTATTTTCTGCTTAATGATAATTCAAAAATTCAGAAAACTGTTTGAAGAAACTGTCCTAGAGGTCATTAAATAGTAGGCATAACTAGGCTCCTGGGAAGATTACCTAAATGGAACTAATAGCAATATGTTTAAGTGTATAATAAATTTCTATTTCAATAACTTTAAAATTTCCATTTTAGTGAAATCAGATTGAATTGTCAAACATTGAAACCATTTTAAAATGTGCTAACTTTGTGGTTTAGTTTCCAATTCACCTGACCATAGAGCTAAAACTTGTGAGATTAAGGTTCCCATTACTTGCCTACAGCCCTGGAATTGCTCTCAGGGACTCAAAAACTATTGTAAGTTTTCAGAACACTGAGCTACCATCCGAATAGCCATACTGCTTTTCCTGGCAGCCTTGTAGCACCACCTAGTGTTCTACTCATCGAAAACCAAGACAGAAGACAGCTTTCTTTTTCTCTCCACATTTAAAAGAAAGAAAAATACTGTTTCAGAGAACCCTAAATACCTGACCTTGTTAAAGTTTATAGCTTTCCAGGAACCTTTAACTTAATTTTTCTTCTCTTTTTCTTAAAAGTAGATGATATAGTATTCACTGTGCCAGATTGTTCATTCTGAATCTGTGGCCAGTACCATAGTAGGTGTCTGCAAAACATTTTGGTTAGTATGGGGTATTCTTCTTAAACTGTGCTCTATAGCACGAAAAATAAGAATCCAGGAAACCAGCATTTAACATATAGGCAACTATCAGAAAAATGCCCCATTCTCTACAAATTCCCTTTGTTGGATCAAGCAGATGATGATTGATTGTCTATTATCTTCTTAGAGCTGGAAGGGGCCTTAAAGATCAGGCAGTCCAATCTCTAAGACTGTTTGACAACCCCTCGTTAGGAATGTTCTTCCTATCACCCATAATTAATTCTTTTCTTGGTAATCTCTTTTGTAAATTTATCATCTTGACCTGGAAACCATCCCTAACTTCTACCATTCTGGAGTAAGTGGTCCTCTTAAGGTTCCCTGTAATTCTCTATACATACCATTGTCAAAGCGGTCATACTATGTTAAATTGTCTGTTTTATTTGTCTTTCTCCCCCTTTAGATGTGCACTTTTTTTTTTTTTCTTTTTTTTTAAATATATCTTTATTGATTTCAGAGAGAGGAAGGGAGAGGAGGAGAGAGAGATAGAAACATCAATGATGAGAGAGTCATTGATCAGCTGCCTAGCCTGCAACCCGGGCATGTGCCCTGACCGGGAATCGAACCCCGATCTCCTGGATCCTAGGTCGATGCTCAACCGCTGAGCCACGCCCGGCCAGGCTAGATGTGCACTTCTTAATGGCAGGGACCATTTATTTTGTGTTCCCAAAGCCTGGAACACAAATGTTTTGTGTTCCATAAACATTTATTAAATTATTTCTGTATTATTTATTTTAATCCTATTCAGCATATATATAAAAAATAATTTACTATATTGTTAGTAGACAAGTATTAAAATGCAATGTAAAACTCATAAGATATATGGTATGCTTGATATTAATGCTAATATATGAATAATTGTTCTGGTCTCTCAAAAGCTGTAAGAGAAAAATTGGAAAGTAGAAATATTTTGTGTGTTTTTTAATAAACACTTGAAAATACACTTAACCCAAATGTTTCACTTACTACTTTTAATTATTGGGTCACCCCAATCAATTTTAAGTATTATTTTTGTGAGTTATATGAATAATTTTTAGTTTGGTTTTTGTAGTATTATTGCATTTAAGTAATTATTTGTATAATAAGTTATGAGGTATGCTCATAGTCTACACTGAAAGGAACATTTTGGAACTCAAAGACCAATTTTATGGTATGGGCTTAGAATGAACTGTACATTTATCAGACTGAGCCATTAGCATCTGGAAACATGAATGGGTGGAGTAATGTGGAAGGAGTCCTCTTAGTCATAGATAAAATAACATGCTAAGTATACACAGTTTGTAAAAGAGGCAAGATTATTGGAATTTCCAGGGGTTTTTTATATTTAATCAGTTCAAGATCTATTTTTAAAAATAAATTTAGAAACCTGTTTTGTAAGTTGCTTCTAGTTTATAACCCAATCTTAGACCAGGAGACAATCAATAAAATCTATATGAATATAAACTTTAGACCTTAGGATTGTGACACATATACAAGGCTAATTTGAAAAATATAATCCTAAACACTTTATCTTTTCTTTTTCTTTTTTTAAATATGTCTTTATTTCAGAAAGAGGAAGGGAGAGGGAGCAAGAGAGAGATAGAAACATCAATGATGAGTCATTGGTCGGCTGCCTCCTGCACGCCCCCTACTGGGGATCGAGCCCGCAACCCGGGCGTGTGCCCTGACTGGGAATCAGACATCCGTCTTCTGGATCCTAGGTCGATGCTCAACCGCTGAGCCACCCCCTGCTGGGAAACACTTTATCTTTTTTTTTTTTTTTTGGCTTTATATAATCTCTCCAAAACTTCAAATGCCTAATGATATTAACAAAAATAAGATGAGTACTAACAACAGGATATGGATTGGGGAGAATAATACATAAGATGGAAGATCATGCCTTTTTATTTGTAGTACAGTTGGAAGACCAAAAACATCAAATGGATGAAAGTAGGTCAACAATAAACAAAGTTGATTTATTATGATAGTTAACATTTTACCTGACAACCCCAACCCCGAAAGACCGAATAATGTGCCGAGCCTGAGTTAATGTACAAATGACTGGAGTACTTTTAATAGTCAAGATTAAGTCTTACAGCAGTAGCTTCTTAGATTGACATAATATATGTATGTTTTCTCAGATCCAGAATACTAACAATATTTTACAACCTTGAAAAACTTGAGGAACAGGCTGGCTTTCTTCCCTAAAATTGTCTTATCATAATATCTTCCATTGATTAAGTACCTTTTTTAACTCATCAAACAGTCTTGAAAAGTATTTTTTGAACATTAATATTTTAAAGATGCAAAAATTGAGGCTTACAGAAGCAAAGTAACCTGAGTAAGGTGAAACAGCTTGGAAGAGAGTGCTTGGGAGCTGTTTCTGCTACACCATCCTTGAGACCTGGTCAGTGCTAGCAGCTTCCAGCAGAGGGAGGAATATTTCTATTGAAACCAGACCAAGAGCTTGGGTGTGAGCAAGTTCCTCATTCCAGCTGGGTTTGCTAATCTCAGAAATCAGAAGTCAGAATGTTAACCCTTTTGTTGCAAATGACAGAACTGAAACTAATCGGTTTCACCTCCAGGTGGGAGAGTGGGGCTGAGAGTGAAGTATGGCTTTATGAACATAGGGAGCATAGAACCCCAAAATGGCAGAGAGCTTCTACAGCTGGAAATGTAAGATGACAGTGGATATAATTCTCCAATGAATAAAATTTCTATCACTCTCTGCCCTTCAGTCCTGACCTGACCACACAATAGGTTTCTACTTTAATCTCCATGGCACAATTAAGAACATGTGAATTTAATTTTGTACTTTTTGCCCCCCAAAAAAGAATGTCCAATTGTTCTGCGCAGATGTTTTCCTAGAGGGCTATAGATTTGTTCTTTAAATCTTCATCCCAGTGTCTCCACTGACTCTGTATTTCTATGACGTTGGGCTGTAAGTGTGAATATATTCTACTGAAGCAACGGATGTGAGCTCTGGGTTTGTTGGTTCCAAGAGTTTAGAATTAGACATTTATGGTTTAACAGCCTTGAGGTTAAAGAAATTTCTCACCCTTTTATTAAAATTGTAAGTTCTCGCCTATGTCAGGTTTGTATTTCTGGTTCCGGTTTGCAATGCAGAATGAAGCCTTAAATCCTTTAAGTAAGAGAGGTATTTATTTTTATTCATAATAAAATCAGCTGATCACAAATATAGGTACTTCCAAATATGGACACAATCATTGCACCATGGTTTTTGTATGTAAACTAACCACTCTTAAGATATTTGTGAAATTCTGCTCTTCTGAAATCACTTTCTCTCTTTATAATATTGTTTAACTGCAGTTTAGTAACTTCCCTTACTATTCCCTTTAGCAATTTCCCATACTATCAATATTCAGAGAGTAAAAAAGAAGTCTTAACTCATTTATATAAAGTTTGAAATCAGGGAACTTTTTGAAATTTAGTCCTTAGCTTCAAAATTACACTTCATACCATGATTTCCATTTTTGAAAACTGACCTCAGTGTAGCAAAGTGGGTCCGATTATGTTTGAAGTTGAATTCCCTCGAGACACAATTTCACTAGGAAGGAGCAGGTTACATAATATGTTTATGTCACCTGTGAATGCCCACGCAGGGTTATATTCAGTGTTGAAATGTCAACCAAATCACCAAGTCTTTGAACCAATCTTGTTGGTTATCTAAGGCGGAGGGGGTTTTGTTTGTTTTTTTTAATGACATAGAACAAGTTGGTTGTTTTGTTTTTACATTTCAAGCAATCTCTTAAACATTTTGCAAATATACATCATTGAGTCACTGCTACCACATTGTGCAGCCAATATTAAGCAAAGCATAGAAAGAACTGTCCGGGTATTAAGCAATGGGACTATATTTAGTTCATCATCATAAATCAATACTGTTTTCCATATTTTATTTTCAGAACAGAGTGTTCTTGGTGACTCTGTAATGAACACTTGTATGTATTATATCCTTGCAAAATATTTTATCTTTGAATTTAAGTTTTGTAACAAGTCCAGCATTAACATCACAGGAGCATAATCAGTTGACCATTTTATATTAAAACTTCAAGACTTTTCAAAACACAGGATTATAAGTAGATAAGGGAGTCGTTCCAGGTTTGAGACCTGAGACACTCCAGCATTCAAAGATGAAGAGGAGCGAGCCAAAGAGGCTGAGAAATGATGTAGAGGGGAATCTAGAAAGTAAGTGAGATGCTTTAAGGAGGGAGGAGGGATCGGTCACATCAGGTACCATTGATAGATCAAATAATAAGACTACTGGGACCTTTGGTTTTAACAATTATGTGTCTAATAAATTGACAGGTACAATTTATTGCATTTCTAAATCTAATTGGAAGTATAGTTACTCAGGAGTTAAGAAAATACCTGAGAACTTTTAGGACACATTGCATGGAAATTTTTACTTACTTGTGGCATTTCCCTAATTGATTCTACATGACCTGGATTCCACCGCTGCTTTGGTCTTCCCTTCAGGCCCTTCTTCTCCCCCACCTCCCACTCATACTTTGCTTTTACCACACTGACATTCTTGATGTTCCTCAAGCACATCCTGCCTCAGCCCTTTGCACCTGTTTTCTCTGTCTGGATGCTTTTCCCCCAGATATCAACGTGGCTTCTTTAGGTGTCTGCTCAATGTCATCTTTTTGGAGAGGACTTCCCTGATCACCTTCACTGAAAGAGCATCATCAGCCTTGACTCTTTATTCCTGTTATCTGACTTTTCATGTAAGAATTATCACCACATTATAATTTATCTACTTAACAAGAATATAAACTCAACAAGATCAGCAGCTAAAACAGTGCCTGGCACATAGTGATTAATCAATACATATTTTGAATAACTTAAATAAATAAATAAATAGAATGAAAAACAACTGGCAGGATATTTTCATGGAAATTAGATACATCATAATTATCAATCTCCCAAGAAGGGTGAAAACCCCATCTTTGATTAAAAGGCATAGTTTTAGAATCCACAGGCAAATGTCTTGTAAACAGCCCCCCATCCCCCACCACACACACACACACACACACACTTCTTTTTAATAAAACATAATAGCATTCTTTCAAAGCTCTAGTGTAGATTCTGTCTTATTTCTAAATAGCCTCCAGTGACAACTGTTTTTGAAATTTCTAGCTTCATTTGAATAAATTAAAAAATACATACTATATAAGCTTTAGTTTGCACACTAATTAATAGAAGACTCACAAAATAACAATGCCTATGCATTACTTTAAATTTTCTTCCATTTTTTAAGCCAGTCAGAAAAAGACAAGTACCACATGATCTCACTCACATGTGGAATGTAATGAACAAAATAAACCGATGAACAAAATAGATCCAAAGACATAGAAGCATGGAGCAGACTGAGGATCTCAGCGGGAAGGAGTGGGGGCAAGAGATTAACCAAA